ATTGTAGTCTTATACATGTATGCAAGAGAAGAATAAAGTAATTCAATCCTTTTAACAATTAAGAACGTATGCGGATATACGTGATTGTCTCTGAAATATTATATGTCTAAAAGTATCAGCATTTTGGAAAATGTTAAAATATTCCTGCGGTCGAATGATATATTTTTTCAGCACGGTAAATATTGCATCAAATATTAAAGCGATACAGGACACAAAGTAAAAGTAATAAATTTCAACAATAGATAGCTTGTCAGGGCTTCGCGCGGCGTAGTGAATTTTATTGGTGCCCTTGTATCTCATCTATCTTTGTCGGCATAACAGGTGCAGGTCACTATTGCAGCAGGAGCGAGACGCGGTAAAAAATGGCACAAAAGCTACGTGGACGGCTTGCGCGTCTTATTCGGCTGTTCTGTGATGACAATTCGCGAGTGCGTATAGTTATATTTCGCGTCGCGCAAGGGGGCGGATTACGAGTTACGTATGGATCGACATTTTTAATAGCCAGAAAAAACACGCGAAGCTGGTTTTCCCATGTTTCAATCCAAATATCGCTGCAACGCTACAAGTTCGGATTACTTTACGATCAGTACATCGATCTTTGCCGGCAACGTTGCGTCTACTTCCTCTATCGGTTCTCCAGCCCTTTTACCGATGCCTCTACATTCGTTTCCGACCGGAATATTTTCATATTTTTCGCACATTAATTTTTTTCTTGTGCTCGCACAATGCAAGGAAAGCTATTGAGATGGCCAGTAACGAGACTCTTCGGTTACACGAAGCACAGCAGCAGAAACAATTGTGCATTCTGCTTCATTGAGAATCTGCGAAGAGGTCTGGTGTAATCTTCACTGTAGTTATGCTAGGAAATTTAGCCGAGTGGGTTGCGGAGTTAGGTGAAATATAATTTTTCGCCTCGTTTGCGTTCTGGAGCGAGCGAGCGAGCACTCGCGATCGTGTACTGGCCATTACAAACGCCATATTGCCGCGCTTGGTCCCAGTGTGTGGCCTCCGCAGTCCCGATATGTGTTCCGAGAGCGATACACTTTAACATCAAGCTCGGGCCGTTCTCAAGCACGGGCGCTATACACGCGTGCACGCGTGTGCGTCGATCAGTGGCGTAATGATCGCTTCTGCGGCCGCTCGTGGATAACATCGAAGGAGTGGCACGTGAATCAGACCCGAGGGATCTCAGGGCTAATAATATCGGGAGATTAATGGAGCCATTCGCGGAACGAACGTTTTTTAGCCCGCTAATTCGCTAAGACAGCTCTCGAGCTGCCGTACGAAATTCTTTTCTCAGGCGCCGTTCGTCTCTTCTACGCCTGAAAAATATAACCGACTCGGAAACGTGATTGCGTTACTGCACGTAATGAACAGGACGTAATTACGTTAACAAATTCTGTTAAATAAATCCCGCCCCTTTTTCCATTTCCTCTCGCAAATTTTAATTCTTTTTTTCAATTTGCACGCGGAAAGGACCGTTTTCTACTTGAGTATCTAACAGCTTGGATACATGCAAATTTGAAAATAATATTGTTGCACCATCAAAGTAACTACGGCAAAATTATTTTTAGATCTGTGTCCAGCGGAATTTTTTAATACTTGAGTAAAATCATTCTCTCTGTATATTTGTAGTGTCCATATATTTTACTTGCAATTTATTATTAAAATAACCGCGGGAAAGATCCATTCCGAAGCTCGGTATAATTTATCTCCTTACACCGGAATGTACTTTTAAAGGGAAAGAAAAGGCAATTGCGTTGAAATGCGAAATTCTTTTGACGGTTTAGCCACGCATCGTTTCGACCGTCCGGAGCAACGCGAGAGTTGGCAGGAACAAAAGCGGTCCCGAAATTGGCCGGACCTTGCAGCATCAGATCGTATCTTCTCGTAGCTTCAACCTGCATACGCCACTGGCATCGTGCATAGGTGTACTACGATATTGCATTTTACTCGGGAAGGGGGTGAGCATTCGCGTTATACGTCAAGCCGTGCTGTGTCTCGCGTTAATAGCGAAATGCGACTTTGTGTTCGGCTGATCCTCGGCGCCGAGCGAGGAAGACGAGCAAAGGCGCGCAGGCTTCGGCGCAATGCATCGTCATTCATCGATTTACACGCGATATTGCAGTTTCGTGTATAACATAAAGTTTGATGTAATTCGTGGCATATCAATCATTTCCGTAGCCGGCTGTGTGTCGCGCCGATGCGACACCGATCTTCAGGAAAGGCACGAAGCTACGGGAAGAGAGGATTATCCGCGCGCAACTTTGCACAAATTGCAAAAGGCGACGTGTCACACGTTTCCGCCGATTAAGAGATCATGAAAACTGCTTCCAATTTTGCCCGAAAACGGTTTTGCAAAATGACTTAAAATGTCTACAGTCGACGTCTGATTTATAGCGGAACGGAGTAGTTGTCCGCGGTTTTCTTAATTTTGAAAAAAAAATAGTTTTATTTGCCACGCAAAATATGTCGTTTGTTTTTCAAAATCAGGAGAAACACGGAAAACCACTTTGTTCTTCTATTAATCAGACGTTGACTGTGAAGATTTGAAGTCATTCCGTAAAGTCGTTTTCAGGAAACATTAGAAGCGATTTTCACGATTTCTTTACCGGTGGAAACGCGCGACGCCTCGCCTTGAATACTTGAATCCCACGCGCGAGACTCTTATCAGAAAGATGGCATTAAATGAACGGTCCTGTATACCGTGCGCGCGTATGTACTTACGTAAGTACCGTGGCTCACGCGCCCAATATTAAGTATTCCACTCGCATTACCTCCCACCCGAACAGAAAGTTACATACTTCTTCGTCTTACGCGCGGATGGCAGTGCTGTGCAAACTTAATTAGCGACTCCACCGGCGCGGCGGCGGACGTCGTAAAGAAAGACGAGAAAACTCGCGGCTGCCGCAAACGATCTCCGCCCGGAAAATTGCACGCCCGTTCTCCGACGCGCGACGAGACGGGAATCTTTAAATCGCGCAAACGGGGATGTGGATTTGGCGGCTCTTTTAACGCGGCCAGATTTCGCACGGCGATTACAGTGGGGCCTGCAAAATTGGGTTGCGTTTCGATATCGTTAATGCACATAACGCGGCACTTTATCATCGGTCTACGAAAATTCGCGCGATATAAATGGATTAACTGAAATTCCGCGGCCGATCCATAACTCGTTTAGCTGGAATCGCCAATGGTGCCTCACGAGCCGATTAATTTTAGCGCCATTTAACTAGGCTAACATAGTAGAAGGCTTCGAATATGTCGCAATTCGTTGACGGAAAATTTCAGATCAACTTTCACACAAATTACGCAAACTGTCAACTATTTACATGTTTTTTTTACTGAATACTGCTTGGAAATCACAGGCATTAGTTAGCGATTTTTCTCTCAACAAAATGAATTATCTTGATCCATCAAAATAATTCTCCTATTTTCTCAACAGTTTGACACAGGAGCAAGCAAATTTCGAGTCTCGTTTTAAGAGCGTTTTCAATGTTCAAATCTGTCTCTTTCAACGTGCATTTTTTGACTCGTTCACCTTCATAAGCCTTTAATTCTATTAAACGTGTCTTCTTTAAAAGGTATGTCGTTTTAAACTTTTCATACTTATTTATCGCTATTTTGTCGTATCATGTTTACGTCTTGCGTTACTACGAAACTTCGTCTTACTTGCGTAAAGACGAAGATTAATACGGCACTGACTTTATGGCCGCTTGTCGTAAAGAACACACAAAACACACACGAGCGTACTGCGCGTTGTTGCAACAGAAGATGTATAACGTGTTTCTCGTTGACCCTCCCTGTAACAGTCTGCGTTATACAAAGTACCGCATTTTAAGCAGTGGAACATCTGATCTTATTATCAATTTGTGGAGCACCCGTCGGTGCGCTCTCACCACTGGGAAACGGGCGGAATGCAATGGGGATGCGGTGCTTTAACCATTTTGTATTCGAAAATCGCTTCGATTCAAAGAACTTGAAATTTCAACGCGAGTTACAAGACTCGCCCATACAAGTGAGAGGGAGGATATTCACCCCAGGCAGTCTACATGGACGCATATCAAAAGCAATAGCGATTGTTCTACGCGCGACTCACCCTCTCGCATACCTCAACTATCTGACAAACCTCCACGCGCTTAACTCGCGAAACCGAGCGGCGGTGCATAGGTGCACCTGCGCGCTATATATACCGCCGTTGGAGCACAAAGGGCTAACTTCCTCCGACGTAATCCCCGCGGAAGTTGTGCCGTAAACGCGCGGCGCAACCGGAACTGAATCGATGCCCGGCGACCTCGAAACGCGCCGGCCGGCTCGGCATGGCGCGGCGTGCCGCTCCGCAGACATCGCGGAGACTCGACGAGCGGTTGCAGATGCTACGAGCCCCAGCCGCCGCTGCTGTACGACACGGATTGTTGGTCCCTTCGGGCCGGCTGGTCTGGTAGGGCCGCTCTCTGGGCTCGCCTCGTAGCGCCGGCTGGCATTTTCTGTTAGTCGTCGGCAGACCGCGGAGCTAACCGGTCGGGGACCACCGCGCGTAAAAAATATACAGCGCTCTCTCTCTCTCTCTTTTTCTCCCTCTGCCATCCGGTCGCGCGCGCGCGCGTCAGTCTCGATTCGATCGGTCACGTCGGGACAGCTGATCGATTAATTGAGCCGCGAAATAGATAGAGAGACCGGGGGAGTTTCTCTAATGGATGAGATGGGAATCGGTAACGAGTTTATCGGTATAAACACGTAGACGTCCGCGGTCTGTCGGGCCGCATTCCGCGACGGGAGGGTGCCGCGCTGACCCGGGGTGGGCCCCGACGGGAGATCGTGAGGCCCCGTGCATCGTAACGCGGGATCGAGCCGTAAATAATAGCGGCCGGCACGCGATACGACACACGACTTTCGTGTAAGCGTAACGATCGAGACGTAGCAACGTATCGCGGACACACATTAATAATCCCGTGATACCAACGACGTGGAGGAGAGGCGGAAGGGATAAAAAGGCGCCGATATTTTTCAATTAGGCTTTATCCCGGGTATCGCCGTAACAGGATCTGCTTCAGCGCTTTGGCGAGGCACATTGCCTGCAGAATATACGGTTCATCTCCACGATATCATAAGATAGCGTATATTATTGATCAAAGCCGTGGCCACGCATTCATTATAGATTCGAAGATATCGCTCCAGCGACGGAGGACCACGACGGGATCGGCGAACAAGCATTTCGACGACGATAAGCTACAACAGCGGGCTGAACTTTTGGCGACGAATTTGCTATAAGTTTTGTGAGTCACGTAAAAAAAAATTAATTAAACCCCCTGGGCGGGGGGGAAGGAGCTAGACGCTGTCTTATAACGTTCTATGATCGATGAGAATGGAGGACCACGATCTGAATTTCTCAGGACGCATCGATTAAAGTTTGACATGCCGCCGTTATGAGATGAGAAACGGCGTTGTACGCTCGCATGCTCGTGTAACGCAATACGATAATGTAATAAGCCTTTGATATGTCCATAATGAACGATGATATACGATATAATGACTTTATAAATATTTCATGACGATCCACCGTAAAATCGGAGCGCGATTCTCGTGTGGGGAAAAGGTCGTTTTGTGTCATTGTGCGAGAAACTGTTGGCAATTTAACCAACTTTCACAATGCTATTCGTCGCGACAGTTTTGATAATCGCTTGATAGTTTCGTTCAATAAAGTACGATCGCACGGAAATATTTTTGGCGACTTAGTGACGCTGTGGGACGTTTATTTTTGCATTTTTCCTCCAAAGTACGACGCACGTCTTCACGAGAGTGAAAATCGATGGAAGAAGCGGCGTGCGTGTATATATAAATATTTTTTGACGGCCTATCGAAAATCGAAGGACGGTTTTCGTTTAAAACAGAGTGGTTTGTGTCATTGTGCGCGTAACTGTGCAATTTAACCACCTTCGATAACACACTCGTTGTCTCGTCGGGATAGTTTCGATAATCACGCGATAATTCCGTGTGATATAAAGTACGATCGCGCGAAACACGTTTTGGCGAGTTGCAGACGGTGTGGGACATTAATGTTTGCACGTTGCGCATTTTTCTTCGAAAGTGCGTCGCGCCGCGAGAGTGAAGATCGATCGAAGAAGCGGCGTGTGCGTCTTTAACGTTTCCCGCGATAACGCGAATCGCGACCCAGTCCGGGTGCGCTGACAAGGCGCGTATAAAATCGACGATAGCGAGCTGGACAGCCGCCAGTCTTGCGAGAGCCGCGCGCGAGAGCGGACGTCGCTCGTTCCACGCCGATGCGGTGCCACGTGAGGGAAAAGCCAGGAGGGAAACTCCGTTCGTCGCCGAAGTAGAAACAGCATTTTCTTCCCGTTTCTTCCCTCCCGCTGTGGACTCACGTTATCGCGACGAGCGACAGGAATGGTGTGGATTACGCCGGAAGTGCGACAGAATTAACCAAGCGGGATCGGCTCTCGGAGTACGTGGGATCGTGCCTGATGATCGTGGCACTCCATCGGATTTAACTCTATCGACGCGGGAAATCGATGTGCGCTGATTTTCTGGCGAATCTCCGGCGCAGGACGAAACGAAAAAAGAAAAAAAAATCGAAAAACCGTGCGGACTGAAATTGCAAATTAAAAGTTTCGACGAGTGCGAGCCCGTTTGCCACTTCTATTTGTTATTTGTCGGACTATATTGCAATAATAAAAAGAAATCAATACACCGCCCGTAAACAACGACAAATTCAGGACTTCATTAACGAAAGAAAGTTACCGTGGGAAATAATTAAACAGCCACAACTGTGTATCCGAGTGAAATGTAACGAACGCGTTAATTAAACGAAAACAGAGATTGCATGGCGAAGAAATAATGAAATTGAATGTTTCATCGAAACTGTACTGCACGACATTCATATTTATCGCATCGTTAATTCGCTTTTACTAGAATAGTTCGAGACCATATCGTATCGCTTTGTCACCGCTCGAATCGTCGCTTCTTTTTTACGCAGTCGATTGAAGACGTTTGTCGTGCGGAGCATCAAGAGGGCACGGAAGGAAGTTGGAGAAGAATTTTCAAAGGGCGGAAGATCAGTCGTGCCTATTGTAGCGTCTCACGCGAGGCATCCAGTGGATGGTCTTAAAACATTAACGCTATTTGACCCTGAAGATACTTCCGCGGAGGTGTGAACGCAGCTATTACGAGATTCCAGAAGAGGTCGAGCGTTTAGTGTTGCCGCGCTAGATAGAGCTTCCATTACGCCCGAGTCGAGACTAATTCCTTACAAGCGGCTTCTTCCGCAAAAGACTTTCGCGATCTTACCCGCGCGCACTTACTCCGCTGAAAGTTTCCCGCCCGGCGGCGACTCCTGCGAAAATGCCAAGACTAGAATCGCGGAAATCCTGTTGTTCGTGAGGAACTTGGGAGTATCTCGAGAGTGAAATATAAAAATGTATTTCACCGTGAAAATATAAATCGCGTCGCACGAAAATATTCTCTCCGGAGCTGAGGGGGGGAAAGAAATTCCGTAAATTTTGCACGCACTATCTTCAGAATCTCCGCAATAACGTTATCAAGAATATTATCCGGATCGAGTGTCGAAAGAAGTATCGAGGGGATTCAGAAGCGCGTCAAATGTTCAGCAAAGTCCTCAGGACTTCTTTCAAGATATAACCATTGATTTTTCGATGAGAGTGTGGCAGATTTATCGGGAGAAAAATCTGCAATCGTAAGCTCCCCGAACTGGGAGGAAATCTCGTCATAGATCGCGCGATGCGTCGGACACGAAGGAGTTTCGAGAAGACAAGTGAGAAGTCCTGGGAATCTTAGGCAACGGAGAAGAAGACGGAAGCCGAAGGAGAATCACACGAAAGCGGAGGCGGAAGAGAGGAGGCAATTGCGAATAACAGGCAGAGGCGAGGAAACGCTCGAAGAATGCCGTGGATAAAGTGTTTGGGTGGCGGCGGCGGGAAGGCCAGGAGGGGCAAGCCACTCAGCGTCAGTCAACCGATCCACCTGCTTGTCAAGGTAAGATTCCTCTCGAAAAGTTTTCCGCAAGACTTTTTCATGGCGAATCTCTCGTGACGAATCGAGCGAGCATTCGCTGTATTCGAATCGGTCCTTCCGAGAGATTTTTCGGAGCGTGGTTCTTTGCACGCCGAGTTTTTAGCAACAATTTCTTTAAGCTTCGGGACGAAAACGCGAGCATGCAGAACTTTAAACTAAGCGCATTACGCTGAAATAAGAAGCATTGTTTAAAAACTCGATATAAAGACGTAATAGAATTTATAAAGAAGCTGGGAATAAGAACACTATTGCTTTATCCAGTCTATCAAATATGGTAACACATGGCCCTTCTATTTTATGGCTATCAAATTTTCCAATGAGCAACTTGAATCAAAAGTACCTTGATGCCTGGTAATATTTTATTGATACTTTAGATTGCGATATGTATAGACGGAACTGTGTCTAGTGTTCCTCTTGTGTAGGTACGTGGAAAATTTAGCTCGCTCGATTGACTCATAGAATGATACTTGGTATCCAAGTACAATCGCTCTCGAGTAATTATAACTAATTGCTCCTAATTGTAAGAAAGAGAGGGAATAGCCTTGCGATGATCAGAATAGGAATTTGCCGTTCCGTTTGAAGTTCGTGGCTGGCGATAATTGTTGCGAGTGTAAATCGCCGATAGAATTAAATTCCATTCTGACAATATAAATAAACCAAGTAAAATATTTTCAATTACAATCTTGTAATGAAATTTTACTTGACGTTTTATCTATCTTATCTGGTTTACGCCGCTTCTCGTATACATTATCGCTATTCATTCAAGAGGCGGCGCCTTAAAATCAACTTGCTCGAGATCCGATAATGCCGCGATAAGTGGCAATGTTTTCCCTCCGTCCCTTATCGTCCTATCACCGTCCACTTCCTTCTCATTATCGCGACGACTAATTCGTCCTTTGGGACATCGAACCCGATAAAGTTCATAAAAGAGAAAAACAAAGACACTCGTGGATCATATCGCACTGTTAATAAGTAGAACGGCTTTGAAGAAACAGAAAACCACGGTGTTTTCTACGCTAACACAACGGAATGTAGGAGGATTTCCGCTTAAGGAGATGGTTATTAGGCACTTTCGTTCGTCCCGGGATGCCGTAAGATCCGGGAGATACGAAATCTTGAGATGATGGAGGGACGCCGCGGTGGTCAACATTTCTCCTCTTCGCCGACTAGTTGATTTATTAATTCTTCAAGACGGCCTTTTTCCTCGGTTCCGGGCTCCGACGGACGCCCCGCGGGTACCACCATCGATTCAACGATATCTCGGGCACGACCCGGCAATTAAGCTGGTAATAACAGACGCAGTGTTAGCCACTTGTTAAAATTACAACAAGCTCCGAGTCGGGATATTCATTGCGCGGCTGAAACGACTGTTGCACGATATCATTGTGATATTGTTTTGCAATCGCTACAAAACCGCCCGATATTTCCAGGCACGTTTACAAATTCTGAGAGGAAGCGTAGCCATTACATTAATTATTCGTATACAAATCATGAATATTCATCGCCCGAATTTTACGCATTCCATATAACGAGAATTCAGACATTTAATTTAAATTGGCGTCTTTCCGTAAAGTATTTTCATGATGTGAAACTTTCTCGTTTCAGAAAAATACATAAATTATCAAATTTATCACCGATAACAATAATGATTATGACTGGAATTAAATCGTACAAATTAATTACCAATTCCGAGGAAATCTATATAATTCCACACGGAGAGAATTTTCTCTCAAAATTTATCCAGAAAATTTTGTAATCGTGGGCCAACATGGCGCTTTGAAAAATTTTATGAGAGTTTTTTTAGAAATTTTACCATACATTTTACTAGTAAAAAGTACACTAGATATAATTACTAGTAAATGTGTATGGTAAAGTTTAAAAAAGCTCTCATAAAATTGTTCGAAATGCCATATTGTCCCACGATTACAGAACTTTCAGTATAAACTTTATGAGAAAATTCTCACTGTGTGGTAATTATACTTGAAAATCAATTATACGCGTGTATTTTTATAGGACATTGTGGTAATATATGGAAAAAAAAATATCGAAATACAGAGGCAAGATATTTCCGAACGATGGGATAAAATTACAATTTAGGAAGCAAAAAATTCTATCTAGGTGGAAGCGCTCATATTTCAAGCTTCTGGTCGCCGCATACCATGTGCATCGGACAAGCTGTCCTAACAGATGTGCGCACGTACACACCAAAAAACACCATCAGCAATAAACCGTCACGTTGAAATGATTGTTAATCGGCGACTTTGTTAATTGTACATTTCGACCGAGTCGAATTACTTTGCGAACAAGCCGCGAGGAACGCGAGGTAACGATGGGGGGGGGGACGAGCTAATTCGCGAGCGGGTCATTACGTGATCAATTCACGTCGCTCGCTTCCGTATTTGCATATCGTTCGCAGCGGCGCCGTTACAATGGGACGCGCGCGCGTTTCACAAGTCGCAAAAATAAACGTACCGGTAATCGAATGGCTCATTGCGAGACGAAAGCTGGAGGTTCCGTCGGTACGTTTCAATCAATTACGGATTCGCTGGAATTAATAGGGGAAGGTAAAATTCAATTTCATCGAACGCGCATGCAGAATTTTTCCATTCGACTCGACATCTCGGCTTCGATAACGCTAATCGCAAGCGGAAATACCGTCGAGAGTAAATCGGCGGTTGGCAGAAGAAAAAGAAACGGCCGACGTTAAAGAGACCGGCAATCAAATAACACTATGCCACCCGCGGAGGCACGCCGTGGCATTTTCATTAAAGCGGCACTTTAAACGCGATACGATATTCCACGGAACGATTATAAGCGGAGCTCCGTCCTTACCTGCGTAAAACGATATAAGTACGTGAAGGCAAATTAACGATACGCGCGTGTTAGTGATACGCGCGAATGTATATATGGTGGACATGACGGGCGATGAAGTCTCGGGCTTACAGAAGTAAAAAAGAAACCAGCTCCTCCCCCTATTCCAATATAGTGGACTAATAAGTAGAATTATTACATATTTCCGCGGAGTTTTATTCTTGTCACGTAATTTAAAATTAATCACGCCATTAAAAAATTATTATTCCTCGCACTTTGAGGGTATTCGACTTCCACATTTTAAATTGTTAAGAAATTGTGAGAATTGCCAAGTTTTTATGATAGTGCGAAGGCTTCGAAATTCGAATGCTCGGTCCATACAGCCACCCGTTGTAGAAGAAGCGAGAGCGGCGCCGGACCAGTCTATGAAAATTGGATGGGAAATACGTAACAACGAGAAAATGTTTTTCCCGATATATACGTACATCCGCCGGTGCTTCAAGTCCGGTCCGGCCACCGCGGTTTTTCCGCGGCAAAAAAAAAGACAGCTCCTCCCCCTATATAGTAAATTAACAAATAGAATTACTATACATATTTCCGTAGAGTTTTATTTTCGTCGCGTAATTCAGAATTATTATTTCTCGCACTTTGAGGGTATCCGACTCTCACATTTAAATTGCAGAGAAATAATTGTGAGAATATTACGAGGTTTTTTTTTTACGATAGTGCCAAAGGTTTCGAAGTTGGAATTCTCGGTCCATACAGCCACCCTGTAGAAGAAGCGAGAGCGGCGTCGGACCAGTCTGTGAAGATTAGGTGGGAGATACGTAACGACGAGAAAATGTTTTTCCCGATACTTGCATCCGCCGGTGCTTCAAGTCCGGTCCAACCACCGCGGCTTTCCAGCGGCAGCGCGTCGGCGTTTCTGTACGCCCGGGCTCGTGTGCGTACACGAGAGAGCCGCTCTCTGTTATTATAACCGTACTATTATCGGTACCGACGTGCGGCGGGTACACCTGCGTGTGCGTGCGCGCGCGTATGCAAACGCGCGTACGAAATAAACGCCCACCGTCGTGGTGCGCGCTCCTTCGCGATGTAAAGGCCGGCAATTAAATTAGGGGGCCCTCGGGGCACGGCCGATTTTTTTCCCTCGCCCACGCGGCGATTCGTTTCCCTGCGGAAAGGTGACGTTTTCCGCGTGCAGGAAGACATTAGCGTCTTGGAATTTTAATCGATTTTCGGCCTCGCTGTGCGATCCTATAATCGACAATGCGATTATAGAATTGGAGAATATTTAAAATGACTTTGAATATCCATTTTAATGGTAGAGCAGAGTTCCCTATTATGATATAGGCTTCTAATAAAAGACAGCGGGCTTTCAGCATCCAATTTCACAAATCTGTTTTGCAACAATTGCACGCACGATCTAACGATGAATTTTCTGCTAAACAGATTTTACTCCACGGGTAATACATTCATGCCGACACCAACGCGTGATGCCTGTTAATTTAGCAGAAACCCCACTATCTTGTAATAGGAGACTCTCCTCTATATCGTTGTAGTACATTAATAGAAAAATAGCATAAAGAGGCGAGGGGTCTCGTAAAGGGATTAGAATGAGGAAACTATGGTAATTGAAGGCTCTCAAACTACTGGAAGCAATTGTCCCTCCCTCTCTGCATTTCTTTGTCGCGCGAAATATTATCGTACAATGTTTTCAAGTAATTATCTCTATGTTAGTTTTGTAACATTATCCGAGTTTTTTAAAGCGTTAGCAAGCAAGCGATGCAATATCTCACGAAAGGTTAGATTTCTTCGCACATTGTCGGTTTCTTCCTACGCGCGTGAACTCACTTCGCTCGCGGTACGTTTACTCCGGGCTTTGCTCAATACCTTGCGTTGTTTGCTCTCCGCATACGTATTTTTCTTACACCTCGCGTGGACGCTGTCATAATATTACCTTACTACCTAGCTTTTCCATACCCATTTCGATGCCCGAAATACAGGTATGGGTGTAGCAACGAGAACATATTATCGGATGTGCTCAAGCTAAATTCTAATGCAAACTGGTTCGCATGAATATCCAGCAAGTGTATAATGCGTAATGGTCGCGAGGTCAATGACCCGGGCACCATGATAATTACGCGAAT